ACACGATTTTAAACTTTAAAAGAGCAAGCATATAAGGAATATGAGAGACACGGCGGTCAATGACACATACTTTATCCGATGTGACATGAAGGCATCCATGGATCCCGCATTCTACCAAGTCAATATAATTGTATCTAGAAACGCTGGTACTGTCTATCTGCGCCAAAGACTTAACACTTCGGCGTTGCTGAGGAGTGGTCTTTTGCTTTACGTGTGGTGCCATGTCAGACTCAATGGCTATTAGGTAAGTTCCCATTTTTGATTTTTGTTTACTGTTTACGTTGAAATCTGTGGGTTGTCATGCTGGCTCACCTTAGATGTAATAGATATTGTTAGATTCAGTATTACTTTGAAGAAAAGTTCTTAAATTGTGTGAATGCTACTTTCTGTTGTAAAACTGTTGTAAATTGTTGTAAAAGTACGACTCTAATTATTATTTCTACTGTTCCGACAAAGAACAAAATTATGATTTCCTTATTAAAGTGTCCTGCTACAGTGTACCTGTTAAGTTAGTACTCTACTGTATAAGTGCCTATGTAATTGTACTTGAATCTATGATTTGAATTATATTTCTACCTGCTGGGGTCCCTTTGGGGGAAGGGGTGTGATGACCGAACACTCCTTCTTAATGCATTTTCTCCTCACCATAAATTTCTCATATTGCTCGGCTCACCCCCCTCCTCTCAACTCCCTCCCCAAAGAGCAGCTCTGGAATCAGTCTCTATCGAACTCTTGTGTCGTCAATATCCCCTTGACTTCCCTTCGCTCAAACACTTTGGACTCAGCACTAATCTAAGCCACACCAAAAAATATCTGGCCATGCTTCGCTTATTGGTAACGTACATCAACCATAATCTCTTTTAAAAATGGATTTGGTTAACCGTTCATCTTCAATTTGACACACCTGGAAATTTCATCTCTGGGGTCATGCCGCCTTAACTTACAAGATAAAGTTTTTCATACTAAACTTCTAACATTCAATCAGTCGCTCGGGTCCAGGAGCCCGACTATGTAAGTTGTCACAATCGGAGCCTCGCAGTCGTTGTAAGCTTCGGCAGGGCCTTGGTTGCAATGAGTTGTAGTTGCAATCAGTGTTTTTCCGAGTATGACCCCTTTTTGAATAACGCTTCATCTAATCGTGCTCTATTCGTTGAAGGGTAAAGTAATGAGACGGCTTGCTACAGGCAAGCAGGAAGCGCCGCAGGCCAAGGCAGGGTAGGTGTGAACGTCAGGCGTGGATTGTCGTACCAGGCGCAGCATCGCGAAGCCTGTTACGACAAGACATGGTCTTGCGTACCCACAATTTAAAAAAATAGTTCGTAAATTAACAAACATCTTTTGGGTACTTCTGCTGCGCGAATAATTTTTAAATTTACAAGGTCTTTAACGAGGGGCCTCGGCTCTAAATGGACCGGGACTTGCTCTAGATCGTTCTTGTCGACGATCGAAGAACAAAGAGGATGAACAAAACCGGAAGCGAGGTAGAAAGGGATGAAATTAGGTAGCAAGCCCGTTTGAAGGGAGAATTTTGTTATTTCCTGTGAGACAAAGTATTTGTAACCGAAGAAAGTGGTTTTTGAGGACATACGACTCGGGAAACTCTAGAACTAATCCACCCTTAAAGGTCTGTGAGGTTATGTTGCCAGCGCGGCTTTATTCTTCCTCTTGTTCTTAGATCGGCGACGACTAGAATGATCTATTCCATAGTCAGGGGTTCACCTTCATCGTCTCGGGAAGAATCTCCGTCATGTGGGTGAAGGTTCCGAGAAAGGCATCTGAGGTGCGATGAAACCAGATTTTATTCCACCCCCCCCCCTTTTTTTCTCAATGTCACACGTCTTTTGACTCATTTGCCGCCCGTTGTCACGTGCGCCAGCACTTTAGCGCCGACGCAGTGGACTATGTCGGCTCCGATAGTCGCCACCCCTGGCAGGGTGGTGGACAAGGTGCACGTGAGCAAGTTGCGGATGAAGGGGCCCAGGTTGACGCCGCCCACCTGGGACACCTGCACCGATCTCGTGTGGCAGGTGCAGACCCCCGCCCAAACGTCGAGGCCTAACCGGGGGTACTTGTTGGAGGCTGCGAGGGTGCACGCTCCCACATAGTGACCTGCCTTCCAGCCGTGTGTTTCCAGAAACGTTTCCTGGAACTGCGAAATGAACAAAGCCCGAGACTACAATGTTTTGTTTCACCTGGACGGAGTCCCCGAAAAATACAACACTTGGAAGCATCATCGCGTTGAGATCAAGTTATACGGATCAATGTACAGCAACGTTACAATTTCGCGATTTGAACTGTAAAAAAAAAAAAAAAAGTTGGCCGATTATGTTTATAGTGGGCTTGTGTTTCTTGTTTTGGCATGCAGAATGTGAAACGACATCAAGCGCAACCCTTTACGAGAACAAAAAATTATTTTTCCCTTAAATTATAGGGGATTCGCTGCCAGCACACTACAAACTTAATTGTCTACTAAGTACACACTTACAAATGCATGTTTGCAAGTACACACTTACAAACGCATGCTTGACGGCGTATAACTCCATGCGTCAAGCATGCGTTTGTGAGTACTTGCAAGCATGCATAAAACGGCCTCTACAAATAAATTTCATAAAATAACGAAATGTTATTGTTACTTTACAAGAAACTTGTTACAAAATTTTTCGTAAATTCACAATATTTTTTTTACAGTGTAGTGCATGTGGGAAAGGGAGCTGTCTGCATCAGGAAGCGTGTACATGGCATGTATGCACTGCACTAATAAGTGCGTGCCTGTCAGGCGTGGGCTAGCTAGCTGGAACGTGCACGCAGGGATGCTCCAGGTAGAGCAAGAGCATTCATTGTACGCTTCTCGATAGGGTACTTTCGTAGAATCCTGAACCGGAAGCAAGCAGACCAGCAGACGCCAAATTGGCCGGAAACTAACCTCCCTTCGGATCCCAAACTACAGCGAAGCTGTACAAATATTGGTCGCGAAACACATATACACTGCAAACAAGTATCAAACGACTGTTTGTGTTCAAGTGTGGCCGATACCTTTGACGAACGTCTCTTTCCCATGTCAAGTTTGGATCTACTTCCGCCAACATGGCGTCTGTGTGCTTCCGGTTCAGGGATCTACGAAAGTACCCTATTGGTAGAGTAGTGAAATTGACTAACCCCGTAACTTACGTATAGTGAACAGGTGGACTGCTCGGCGAGGAGCAGCAGACCCAAGGCGCACAGTGCAGCAGTAATGATCTTCATGGTGTTCTGACAAGCGCTGAGCCGTAGCGGCTTGTATTGGTGTCAATCCACCCGCCGACCCTGGCAGGCGCGATGGCAGGTGCATTTGCTCAACCTGTCAGTCGTAACATTAAATGCAGCTCACGAGTTTCAGGAACATTTTCTCTTCGTGCAAGTAACGACATGAATTAAAAACGAAACTGATGGTTACGCCATAAACCCACTGCAGTCACGGTTACGGTGCAGAGTGACCCAAAATTGTACACTTGTTCAGGCCTATGTAGAGCGATTTACCGTTCAAGGCACATCGCAGTAACGGAGGGGTGAGCCGTTTTACTTAATCAAAACATTTTATTTTGAACTAGCCCTCTCGAAATTTAATTATGTTTCACTAGCCGCGACTCTACGACACAACTTTACAGATTTCAAAATAATGTAGAGATCTAAACACAATAAATTTGTGCGTAATGTGAAGAAACTGATTGTTGGTCAACGAGAATTCTTCAACATCAGGGATCCTTAACTTCACTTAACATTTAACTAACACTGCTGTCATAACGTAACATAAGACCATGTTCGCTATAGGTTAAGGGTACGGACTTATGAAAGTACTTGCAAAAGTATATCCACACAAATTCGAGACAAAAAAAAATAACTTACCCTTTTGAAAAGATGTTAGAAGTTAAGGGTAATAACTTTAACTCTTATGATAACGTTATGATGCCCTTATGAGGTAAGTTTAGGATCCCTGTTCAACATAGGTTACTCTCGCTGTGCTGTCTTAATGCCTTTTTTTAAAAAATCATACTTCGAAGAGAGCGTGGGAGGAATGTCCAACGCTGGATTTTGAGAGTTTTGGAGCCAAAATCGCCGTATTCATGGCAAAGTTTTCGACTCGGCAGTGATGTGGCAGCCAAGCAATGCAAAATTGAATCTGACGAATAGCAGCGCTCCTTTATGCATGTTTCATGGTACTTGCGAACCTACAAAATAATTTCCTTGCGGATATCACGTATCCGCAATACAGACAATTTTGTGCAAACATAATTACAGGTGAATTGAACTTTCAACACGGATGGTTTCACCCGTGATACGAAGACTTCTTCGTCTGTACCTTACGGATTACTTCGTTTGCACGAAGTCCACCTTACAAGCTAAGTCCACCCGTAATAGTGTTTGCACTAAACTGTCTGTAATACGGATTACACAAGCAGTCCGAAAGGATGAGTTTACAGTGTAAGACGAACGACAACCCAGGATTCGTGACTAGCAGGATTATATAACGTCGTGTTTTTCAGATCACACGCAAAAAAAAAACTCTTCTCAGAACTAAAAATTTAGCACCGGTGCTAATTTAACAAGCTCTACAGGCCCTGCAACTTTTTCAGCTGTATACCTAAATTAAATTAGCTGAAAGCTTTTATCACCAATTCTAATAGACTTTGCTGAGGTGAAGGCTATTTTCAGGTGTGCATCCATATATTTTCTAGCAACATTTCATTTGCAGTTATCTGCTTTTCTATATTTATATAGGTCAGCAGGCAAAAAAATGAAACAGCACAAGTAAAAATTTAGCTTCTTTGCTCATTGATTCCTGATGTATGGCTAGAGCAGTGACCTGCCCTGCTTTTGAATTTCCCTACTTCAGAATATTAGCTTGGGCTTATGCTGTGGTTTGTTTGATTTACCATGCAGATCAGAGGAAAACAAATAAACAGGGTTTGAAGTCATAACTTTTATTTATTTAACACTTGTAAGTCACAGTTATAGTGTATAAATCAAACAAAGTGCTTTGCAGTCAAGTACAAAGAGCCTTCGCTAAAGGTATCATTAAATACCTGAGGCTGTATTAACTCCTCCACTTTTACACACTTTAAGTCATATCTTGACTGATCAATAACAAATGCATGAAAATGATGACAAAAATATTTTGTATCAAAAGAACTAACAAGAAGTCTGAAATCTTCATGCTCATTGACAATAATGTAGCATATTTTTCCAAACAGTGGAAGGCCACCGTTATCTTTCATGTCAATATAAACATATGAGTTGAGCTTATACTCAGTACCCTTACATCTAACATATGAAGCACACATCCACTTAGTCAAACCATCAGGCAGATAAGGAACAAATTTCAAAAATTCTGAATCAGTACCTAACACATCGAGATGTTTTAATGGGCTGAATTCAACATCACAAATAGAAAGAGGATTTTTCTTAGTAGCTTGAGTGATTTGTTCCCGTATAGACAATGTCTTTGTTACATTTTTGCGAGAACGAGTAGCTTGCGCTGCAACAGTCTGTGCTCTGTTTTTAGATTCAAACCGCATGCACCAAGTGTGCACCAACGGTCCAACCATGGACATGATTCTTGAAAAATGCACCAGATTATGGTGCTTCGGTTTCAGTGTGTCTTTGAACAAGAAATAATACAGATGATTATGTTCTGCAACCACACTGTCCAAAAGATCACAAAGAAAGGGAGTAACATAGGGGCACAAAACAATATCCAAAATTTGTCGAAGCAGAGTGTAGAAGTACCATACAGGATCTCCTTTAGGAACTAAGTGACCTACCATCATAGAAAAATTCATTACAAAACTGAGCATTTCACTTGCAGACATTTTAAAGTGACCTTCTTTTAAGTTTTCATCACGAATATTTGAGGACGGCCTATTTTCACCTTTAGCACAGCCATAATTATGAGATCCTAAATGGAAATTAAGATCATTTAGTGAGAAAACCCTTTGCGAATGAAATAGGAGATAATATGCGCCATATCATAATGGCAGACACCCTGAAATAAGTCATGCATTATGTCAACACTTAGATTCTGGGTGACATGAAAATTAGGAAGGCTATTCCAAACTGAGTTTTCGATTACCCCTGTTAAAGAGGGGTCATTAGTTATAACGTCAGCAGAATAATTATCTTCATTTCTGAGCAACATAGGATCTTCCGTTGAGGCAAAGTGTAGTGCATCTCTGTGGATTTTACAAAATCTGCAGCAATGATTGGCAGTAAAGCTGGAGACAAAATCGAACATAGAGTTGACACCAAGGTTGTCCCCAATAATTAGACCTAAATGAAAATGTACAACATGAACAAGACCATCTATGTTAAGCACTATACCATTCACTTCAAGTTCCTTCAGTTCCTCGATCAGTTTACAAAATACAGGAGTATTAGAAAACATCTCTCGGTCACTAGACTTGAAGAGCAAAATAACAAAAATATTATCTACCAAAGATCTTATTTTGGGGGGTAGAACAGGTATACTACAATAAACTCCACCTAATTTACCAGTGTCTGAATGAGGGCCCAAGCTGTTGTTCACACAAAAGTCATCGTAGAAATAAAACAAGGGAATATGAATTCCCAATAAATCCTTAATTTTGGATTTCCACAATTTACTTTGGATAAAATTTGATACACTATTATCTATTTGAGAATTTAATTCATTCATATAATTCATAATATAGGCAAACATGCCCGGTAATTCCAAAAAACCCTTTAAAGACTTGGCAATTGGGATGTATGACATCTTAACTCCAATGGGGATAACTTTGCAAGCAGTCAAATCTTCACCATCACCAATAACAAGATCTTCAGGATCTACCCAGGTTGGTGCCTGTTTGAAATTCTTAAGTCTTAAATAGTCAGAGTCCAAACCTCGAAAGGGATTTTGAAGTACATCTAAATATTTGTTGACATTTGAAAGAGTCACAGGGGAAACACCAGTTCCATGCAGTTCCAACTGAATTGCTTTTTTCACAGAAGACACACTATTACCTATTAGTTCAGTAACTTCTGAGACTATAGTTTGAACAAAATTTCTAGGAATCCCTTTGTACGAGTAGAGCTTATTTAAAAACTGGTTTGAGGCTCCTTTCAAACTTTCTGTTACATTGGGAATTGCAGGACTAGAATTATTTGTTGCACTACTTTCTAATTCAATAAATTGATCTGCACCTTGACTAGACGTACTTGCATTTGAAATATCAATGCTATGATCATTCATACATTTTGACTTTGTACTTAACTTACTCAATTCACATTTCTTTGGTGGTTCTTTAGCAACGCTGTCATTGTGAATACACAGTAAATCCCAAACTCAGTTTCCGGGGCCCTTTGCCCCAGAAAGCAAGAAAAATCAAAACCGTTTCAGGGCCTTTCAATTACAGGGGCGCGCCCTGCCGCTCCGATTCACAGTCCGCCGGATTCGGGGTCCCGGCACCGATTTCTGGTAAAGGTGACCCGCTTGCTGGGAACCAGCATCCGCAATGCGTTGCTGTCGCCAGTTTCGCGTTCTGCCGTCGGGTCGTATTGTTTTTTTGCAGCACAAGTCAAGCGCTCATCACCGATTTATCGGGGTGAGTTAATTTTGTTTTGACAAAACTAACTGCATCTTGTTTTTTTAACTCTTACGTCACTATGTCTAACAAAGCATTTAGCTTGTCGATATCCCATCGCCGTCTTCATTCCGTTCTGCCTTATGTTTTATACTTCATAATGCTTATCACATAATGCTAATCACACTAATTTTGTTAGGCCAATTGAAGTGTACAGATGTTGTCTCTGTGCCTGACTTGACTTCTTGCCGCATCAATCCCTTCGTTTGAGGGATTCACAAGTGATTTTGTTCCCTTACCTTTGGTTACCATATTTTCAATTGTTGGGTTGTACAAATTGAAAATAGTGATCACTAGTTTTATCGAGACCTGAATGATCAAGTTCGCATCACTGGGCAAGAGTCAAATGTCGAACAAATTGACCTTGAAAAGTCTCAGGCGATTCCCCAATAATGGGATCACTTTTGTTCAATCGTTAAGATTCAGATTTAACGGAACACTTTGAATCAAATTATGGTGTTTGAACTAGTATATCTTTAACACGTTTACCATTGCTACTGCCTCTTTGTAATTTTTACGAAACCTGGTATCAAGCCTTTTATACCTATTATCAGATCAAATTTGATCACGTGTTCATTGTGCTTCAAGCTGTAAAAGACTGCACTTCTTAGAAACTTCCCTTTAAAGATACTAATGTTTTTTATGTTTTTTCAGGTACCATGGATTTTTCGAGTTGTCCGAGGCATCCAGGAGTCCACATTGTACTTTGAAAATTATTTGGTTTTGGGAAGAAAATAAAGTTGAATTGAATTCAAAATACATAATTATTATTAAATTTCAATCCTTGAAGACACAAGATTAATTATACATAATGTTCATTGACAAGTCCAGACAAAAGAAGTAGCATAATACTTGAAGAAAACTTGTTATAATTGAATAAAACTTGAGACATGAAATGCTTTCCACAATGGGATTCTTAGGTCTAAAAGCAGCTCTGCATCTATGTTCAAATAGATTCAGGTACTATTCCTACTGAACAACAGAAAGAATAAAAACAAAATTTCAATCAAAATGAATACAGGCATTGATCACTTCAATTTTAATACTTTTAACAAGTCAAGCAACTTGTTATTCTTGGCTATGTCTGAATTCAGATTGGCGGCTGATGCCCCCACTGTAGCACAGCACAGTACAATAAGTTGGAGCCTAGTATGAGGTGGGAACTTTATTCCCAGAACATAATAAGTAGCCAAAAGCAAGAGGAGGCCTTGCACTGAATCCTCAACACAAAAAATGGGCTCCGTGTCCAAGAAACAATGGAGAGAGCAATTTTCTTCTCGCCCTGCTGCTAAAAGACGAGGGGGATCTTTGGCTCTTGGAGTCATTTCTGCCGTTGGAGTTGTGACCTGCAGAAGATAGTTTTTCAAATTAGCTATTTAAATTAAAATGAAAAATAATTGAATTAGCCTTATTGCTGCACTCAGCAGTCATAAATAGGTTTAAATATACCTCAAATACTTCCATGACTTTTGCAGCACGGTTATCATCAAAGCTCTTCTTATACCATAACGGAATTTTATGGAAATATTCCAAAATTACTCGGGTCTTTTCATCTGAAACAAAGAACAAAATACCTGATTAAACCGTCACAGGAAATGTAGAGAGGTGAAAATATTTTTATTACCAAGAGTGCCTGACTGCACACAGATGTTCTTTTCTCTCATATAAGTCATGATCTGCAACGCTGACTTGGTCCAGTTAGCTTCCATCTGGTCTCTTGTTAACTTCATTTCAAACTCAAACTCTCCCAAGAGCTGCAATGAAAATAAAAACAATAAATTGTTTGTTTTCCTTACAATTCATTCTTGGCTACAGTCTTTGTGTAAAATTAAAGGTACTCCTACAATGGACACATGAAACTCATCGCTCACGAGCTTTTCACTCCTCTTGTAAGTGTTCCATTGGAGAGACCTGGTTGGCCAAACGGTTGCTCTCTGTGGTCAAAATGTGATGCAGTCTTGTAGAGAACAATGTAGCACGTGCCCTTATAGTAGTTTTAGTCTGCTCATTACTACACTCATAATTATGTAGCAAAAATAAAATTGCCTCATTCAAATAATTGATTCTAAAAATTTCACTTTTGCTATATAATCATGAGTGTGGCAATAAAAAGACTAAAACTGCTATTAGGGCATGTGCTTTATGGTTCTCTACGAGACTGCATCACATTTTATACACAGAGAGCAACCGTTTGGCCAACCAGGTCTCGCCAATGGAACACTTACAAGAGAAGTGAAAAGCTGGTGAGGAGCACCCTAAGAAAGGAACAACTCTGCTGCAGTTTTCCCGTAGTTTGTTTTCACAAACAATAAAAAGGCAATTGTTTATGGATTCTCCCCATTTATCTATTTTAGTTAAATACTAAAAAAGATGAAATATTTCTAGTCAATGCCTATAGATCACAAAAAGCAATAAGATTTCACCAAAGATCATTCTATGAGTAACATAATTTTTAAAGCTTTAAAGTGAACTGCAGAGGTATGTCTAGAGGGGGAACGTTCATCAACTTAGGTTTTCATCAATAGAATTAAATGATCACAGAAACTTACAATGTCAGGTAGATTTAATGCTGGGAACTCACGAAGTAGCTGAAGACCAGGAAGCTTTTTGGAAGAATCTTTTCTTAGCTCTCTACATACAGCCATTTTAGAGCGATAAATAGAAACATCTCTTTTTCCAAGAGACCAGTCTCCTTTCATTTCTTGTTTTACTGACTCAGGAGTCTGATCACCTGGCTCATCGCTTGATGTAGCAGCTTCTTTGCTGCGTTTCTTTGCTGACTCATTGAGTCGGTCTCTTCGCCTTCTGCACTTTTCATAAAGACCCAACTATCAGAGAAAGAAAAAGGAACAAATATTAAGATCAGTAAAGTAAAGAAAACACCCTTACAAACAATTATTGTTGCAAGGGACAAAACACTTAATGCAACACATGCTGTTAGGATCAGTTTTTTTCTTACATGTTTGGGATCTCCATCAACTTTCAAGGGAGACCATCGCTGTGCCATTTTCCGAGCTGCTTTCTCCAGACACTTGTTTGAAGCCAAATTTTTCCCGTACAGGTTGTCCACAACTTTCTGCACGATCACACTCTTGTGGTTGGCTTCAACCTTCCTTGACATCAGAGCATTAGAAACTTTTGTAGGCAGTCTCAGTGGAAACTCTTTTTCAATGTCCTCAGAAGTTGGCTACAACAAACAAACATATTTTATGGCTTTTATATTATGGATCAGGAAAGAGAAGTAGATTTAGATTAGGAGTAATTTGTATTATTCTAAACAGCAAAATAAATTTGAAGTTACTGACCTCATTGGAAGTTGACGAATCGAGAAGAACTTCCAAGAAATTTGAACCAGAAGCAGTTTCAATAATTATGGGCTGAAAATTAAATAAGAAGATAAGACCAAGGTGTGTCTGCAACCATCTCTCTTGAACTTCTCACTACTGCATAAGTTGCGGTTTTTTGTGTCTCTGAGTAATATTATTTGTAGGGACTTGTTTGCTCTGAAGGTGCGACTAAAACTAACTTATCATTCATCACCGATCATTTTTCAGTTTGACTTTCAAATATATTTGAATTAATTCTACTATGGAATGGTAAAATGAACTCTTCATTTCACACATATCTTGTCTTTTGAGTGATATCATTTGTAAGGACTTGTAAGCCATATGGCTTCTCTCTGTGATCAAAATAAGTTTTAGTCTTGTAGTAAACATTATTTCTTATGCTCTAGAACTATTTTTGGTCTTCTTATAAACATGCATATGAATATATCACACAAATAAAATGGTCTGATTTAATAAAATCAAATCAACAAAATTATATTTGCTTATTTTTGCTACATTATTCAATATATGATGAAAGAAAAGATTGAAATTAGTCTTAAAGCATAAGGAATAATGTTCTCTACAACACTGTATCACATTTTGATCACAGAGAGAAGCCATATGGCTCACAAGTCTTTACCAATGAAATCACCTAAAATACATGGTGAGTGGGAAGGAATGCTCAATTATAAAAAGAAAAAGAAACTCACAGAACCAAGACTACTGTTGGATGAAGAGAGCGATAAAGTTGAGTTGCTGCCAGACTCATCAAGATCTGTAAAATTGACAGTTGGATGAACTGGTACTCTTTCTTAAAATGTGATTTATAAAAGTAATATTTAGGAGAACTTACTTGTTATTTCCTCGTGCGCGGGAGCCGCGCACTCACAGTAGGAGCAGGTCGCCCTCGTAGCATTTGCCTCCAGTTCGTAAGCAGTGCAGGAGCACTTGGTGCACTTGCCTCTTTCTACCCCTCTGGGGTCTTTCATCGTGCTGTAAACAAAAACAAACAAAAGATGTTAATAGGGTACAATACAAACCAAAATTTAATGTTTGAGACAAATAGTTCTTACCAAAACAAGACTGGATACTAAAATAAAAATACCCCACAGAATAACTACACAAATGACACTTTTGTCCTACATTAAACATGGTTAACAATAAACATACCTAAAAATGAGACCAAAATTCTCTCCCTACATGACTTATACATACAGACACCCACAACAATATACTCTTACAGGATTGAACCACCAACACATTGCTTCATAGGGATATACAAAGCCCCCTTCACCAAATGGGCATGCAAAACATGATGGAGAGCTATGGTTTCAGGTTTGACAATCAATAAATTATCAGGAGACACCTTAATTTCATACGATGCCAAATAGATGCTCCGCCTTATGGTGGAAACCTTTTCACACACATACTGGACTGTTGGGTGGATGAGTACTTTGAACACTCGAACAAAGACTGGTAAATCATCTCGCACACCAACACACAAGTAACATGTCTGTGGTTTCAATGTAATTCCATCATATGTCAACCAGTTGGTCTCAACAAAGTTCCCAGCATACTGTGGGAACAATCTTCTATATGAACAGTCATTTACATTCACTAAGTGACAGGGCCCACACTTGCATGGTTTACGAAGAGATTTTGACAAAACTGAAGCGAAATGAAGTTGATGCTTGTAGCTTAAAGATGCTGGAATGTTTTTGAAGCATCCAATGACATACACTAATCTCTTAAAAAACTTATGTTTGGCTTCACACCTCATACACATGTAGTTCACAAGACTGCCATAGAGTCTCAAATACAAAGGGAAGTGGATCATGAAATGCTGCTTCGGAATCAAATTTGCCTTGTACAACAATTTGTAATCGGAAAGATAAATTTCAATCAGATCTCCCAGGTAAGGCACCATCCATTGCAAAATATCAGTTGAGAACACAATGCGGCAAATTTCAAGAAGGTCCAAATAATTCTCAAAATACTTGTCATCTTTATCAAGAAGGGGCCCTATGATCAAGGGCAGAATAGTTGCCAAAAGCCAGAATTGACTGGCTGATTGATGCAGTGATCCGTCATCCTTCAAGTGAGCCGCCTTTATTTCTGATGGTTTGCTGGAAGTCTCTGCGTAGCCATAATCAAACTCACGCACAGCTGAGTTGAGCCAATCTAAAGTGAATTTCTTCGCATGACCTGTTTCACCAAGGTAATGATTAAGAAGTCTCTTTATAGCCAACGGCACACATCCCTCTAGAAGATCATGCATGATATCTGGTGGAAGTCCCTCAACAACATGGTAACTTGCAAGAGAATTTAAAGCAGAGTCCCGATTCACTCCATATTCTGTACTAAGAGCTTCATTCTTTCCTCTTGCTGTTTGAATTTGAGCACATTGCTCGGCATGGGATTCTTTAGTCCTTAACAGCTCTGGTTTTTCTCTCACCATCTTCTTCATATCCTCATATGTTGCCATGCAGTGCCGACAGCATCGATGGGCTGTAAAACCTTCCTTGAAGCCACCCATACCATGGGAACCCAAGTTATCACCAATAGTTGCAATGAGAGTTCCGTGTACTTTTTTACCACATGGAAGTACAACACCCCGCTCAAACTTTTGCAGCTCAGCCACAATAATCTCTAAAGCAGAATCAATGCCATATTTCTTGTCCTTGATAAAGTTAGCATTCACCAAAGCAACCAAAAAAATGAGAGACACATTTGAACGATGATGAAGGGCAATATTATCCAGTTGTAAATAAAAAGCCCCTAACTTATGGGCACCTGCTTTGCTTTTCAATGGTGCACACACCTCTACATCATCATAGTAGAGTATAAAGCGATATGCACCTTTATCTATAGTAAGCACTGGATTACTTTTACACTTCTCACCTTTCAGATAAGTATCTAGAAATTCTGAGTTAATATCTTTTTGAGTGAGATGTTCAAAGTCAGGATGATTGATGAGTTTGTCCAATATTTCAGTTATTGGAATAAACATGACATCTTCTGACCTCAGCACAGTTTTATGCATACTTTTACCTTTTACTCGAACTTTTTTTAGCACCTTCCCTAAAGGTATAGCACGAGGCTCAATGACACCAAGAGATTTTTTAAAATACTTCTCCTGCTGTTTCACAGTTCTGAGATTGTCAAATATTTTAGATGATGAGTCAGCAACTGCCTTGACATCTACCAATTTATCTAATGACACATCACTTCCCGCCAACTTTTCATCTAGTTTGGAAACAAACGCCATCACAGAATCCTTTATAATTTTTTCAGTTTCTGCGATAACAAACTTGATGGAACTTGATGGAATGTTACACACTGAATTTAAATGAAGGAGGTAAGAGGCAGCACTTTCATTAACGGGAGACGTTTCCTGAGGGAGAACACACTTAACTGCATCTTCAAGCGGCATTCCTTTTTCAGCTTCATCATCAGCGTCACTCTCCAATCCTGAAAATTCACCATCGCTAGTGTTGTTTCCAAAACAAGAGTCAGCACCTAATCCTGAATCCTCCTCATCAGAGCTTTCTTCCTCCTCAGTGCTTTCATGTCCTTGTGCATCAACACTGCCCCAAGGAGAATCAAAAGCGACGTCAGCATTTTGGGAAACACTATCATGAAGAACGTCCACAGCTGGCACACTAATTTGAGATTCACTTTCAGGAAAAATTGGCACACTAATTTGAGATTCACTTTCTGGAACAATTCTTGCAACTGACTCATCATTTTGGGGGTCACAAACAGAGGCACTTTCTGAAGGCAGCACAACACTTTGTTCCTTGGTCTCTGCGCAAAGTACAACATCTTGAACCACTTCAACAGACACAGTCTCACGGCTGGGACCTTCTACAATTAACTTTTTTATCACAGAAGCACTGGTGACAGCAGGGTCGGATGATTTCCTCTTCGATGCATGATGTTTTGAGTACCAATGTGTACGGAGTGAAGCAAAGGTAGAATAAATGTGCTCACAACCTGGGCACTTAACCTGCAAATCCTTCTCCTGCTCGTGGTAGTCCTTGAGATGTTTTAAAAGAGCCGAGTCCTGCACCTCTTCTCCGCACTTGGTGCAAATCATAGTTGAATATCAACTGAAATAATGAGATGATGGTGGATGTTAGTATGAAACTACAAAGCTAGTGTGAGGGAGGCTACACATAAACTACACCAATTAGTTGCAACCATACTACAACTGGACGACACAAAACAAACCACACAAAGTATTTGGGCGAATCTCAAAATCCATTCGAACATTAAGAGGTTCTCTTGGCCATGATAAGTTACGTACAGACACCAGTTGCACGCACGCTCAACAGACCGCAAACAAAGGGAACATGAACAAGAAAGGACTTGAAACTCGAACGTTCTCGACCTCGACTCGCGCATCGAGACGCGCTGCGCTCTTTTTCTTCTTCTCTATTGATGGCTATGAAATGTGTGTGTGTAAATCCAGGGTATTTGAGGTGATCATATGATAATCTGACGTAAAATTAGTCCTAGAAATAGCCAAAAAGAACGGTTTTTATCCAAATAGGCATGAGAAGGTCGACTGCGGCTCCGCTGCCCCGAAAACCGGCGAGAGCGGCGCGGAAGACGAGGTGCGGCGCTCGTCGATCGGAGCGCACTGCCCGACAGTGTTCTGGCCCACCGGAAGACGGCCGGTAGCGGCCATTAATGGAGGGAAACCTGTTTGAATTCGATTCAAAAGTGCCCCAGAAATTTTCACTTCTCGATTTCAGGGGAAAATGGTACTTTTGCAGCCCCGGAAACTGAGTTTGGGATTTACTGTGTACTTTGAGGAATGTTATGATCTCGCACTAGATGATTTCTATACACTTTCCAAGTAGGAAAGTCTCTAGTGCAATTATTTTCAGCACACTGATAAACATGAAAACCTTGAGAGACCACAGTTAAATGATTCCATTCCAAATGATACACTAGTTGGTGGATGGACTGTGTCTCAGTTTTACACTCCGGACACAGAACCATTTTACACAAGAAAAAAATTATAAACAAAACAAATTTTAGAGAGTAACAATACATTATAAATTGTAAACCAAAAACACCTAATATCAATTAAATCATAAACCACAACCCACAAAAAGATTGATACTAATATCAAAAAATCAATGTGAAATAAATCACCTTCCTTAACTTAAATTTACTGCAAAGTTATGTCAAACATAGCAAGTAGACTGACAGCTGAATGAGTAGCACTGGCTTTGTCATTAGGGGTGAAAATTTCATACACAAGAGTTTGTAATAGCAACCATAATGGTCTGCTTTCAATAGAATATTTCATAGCAAGGGAAAACACAGTCTTGAAGCAAATGTCTAAGGCTTCCAAAGGTGAATTAAGAAGATAGAAAAAATCATTGATGCATACATAGCAGGCTGTTATTGAGTCAAGGTCTCTTCCCACAATCACAACAAACGGTTGTCTCGTTTGCTTTACCTCGAGCAACCTTTTGTCTCTTCTGTTGACAGTTTCCTGAAGCTTGGAAACATCCTATTGAAAAGAAATAGAGGATTTCAAATAAAGCAATGGTGCAACTGCCTTAACATAGAATAGCAAATAATGAGTGAGTACTTACATCTATGTGTGTGATAAATCCATTTTGAACTTCTATTCTGGTTGGCCTCCAGCCTCTAATTTCTTCAACAACACCATCAGTTTTCTTTTGTTTCTTCTTGGTGACTGTATAAACAGGCACTAGGTAGCACAAGTTCATCAGAATTGCATTAGTGGAAAGTTTACCTGGAAAAGAAATGAGATGAGTGCAAGTGTTCACAGACAATAACAAGTTTACAAAAAACAAGAAAGCTGAACAAAAGTAAAATCTGTAGAAACTTACCAGTCGCTTTCAATGTCACTTCCTGCTGTCTCAAAACTGATTTTAGTTCTCTAGGGCAAGGACGCACATTCTTTAGTTCTAAGTAAGCTTTCTCTATAAAAGACTCAATGTTATCGAATAATTTGTTGGCCTTGTCCTCAAACAATAGATCAAAGTCAGATTGGACCTGAAATTGTGAAAATAACAATTAACAAACTTGTCCATTTTAATAATATAATTGAAGGGAGAAAAGTCAAGGTGACCTACCAGCAGGTGACCAAGAGGCTGTCGAAGTACTTTATATTGTTCCAAGTATGCAGTAGGACAGTACCGCTTGTTACCTCTGGTTGCTTTTCTAGCTTCTGCGGTATTCCTCCACTTATCCTGCACTGTAGTCCAGGGCTCGAGATGTGAAGACAACCAATCGACATCTGTCAATACTGAGTCTGTAACATAAACAACAATTAAAATATTGAAGGGAAGACTGATCAGTGCAATATAAATACCTCAAAAGAAAATAGAGCATCAAATTAATGTACATCCAAAATAAAATGAAAGAAGAAACATACCTGGTAAAGGTTCGGTGACATCATCTTCATCACTATTATCGGAAGCAGACTCATCGTTAACTTCACCAACATCTCTCCTTGCACTATAATATGCTTGTAATATAGCACCATTTGCAACAACCTTCTTGTTTCCTACAGTCGTCCTTGGTTGGAACCAAAGGTGCTGAAACCAATAAATTTCATGGTTAGAATAAACTGCAGACAAAATGTAATGTCTACAGACAATAAAAAAGATAACTAACCTTTGGATCTTTAGGAAAAATTGCAGAAAGTAGCTCAGCCCATTCAGCAAACTGAGTGTGTGGAATCCTGCAAAACAAACAATTATAGAAGAGTACAAAACCACTAGAATTGGTAAAATTAAATCTAAAAAGCTGCAATGCATACTTTTGGTGAACGTCGTCCCTTGTGTGGTAAAGGACTATGTGTCTACAGAGTTCTCGCCTCTCTTTAGTGCGCAGTCTGCGCTTCAATAAGAGTAATGCACTTGCGTAGCCACTCAGCTTGATTATGCTGAGAAGTGCCTGTATAATCAGAGAACAGAATCATAATAAAAACAACAACAATTGGCATCAGTGCCGTGAACCAGTTCTAGATTTAAATGGAATAAAAAAATACTCACATCAACATCAACTTGAGAAGGTCTCGAAGAAGTACTAGGAGTAACAGTTTCTATTTCCAGAGGGACCGATGCCACAACAACACTGTTTCCATCCAGAACTATATCCTCACTTACCATGAGGCTATCAGCAATGATACTATTGTTCTGGAACAAAACCTTATAATAAGCACAGTGGATGACCACATAAAGAAAAACTGAAAAGAATATTTTTAAAAACTTACATTTGACTGGAACTGATGAAGGTAGTGTTTGAAAACAACTTGGTCACCAAACGCCGGCACTAACTGTTCGACATACTTGTCATTGAGGAAAGACAAAGCCGCTTGTCCGATTCCCTTTGCTGGAAACAAAGTAAAGAACAATTAATCCAAAGTAGAGTTCGTCCCCACGTACAAGCAGCATGGTCGATCAGAGGTTATGTTACGACATAGGCATAGGAGACAGGTTATTGACAAAACGAGGAGATAAATCAATGTACGTCCACATTATTTTCAATGGATTTTGAAATGTGGTAAATGGCCCAGTTCACACTGACACACTAAATTTCACCGTACATGCCGTCCGTGAGAACGCAGACTAGCCGCTGGGACGCAAGCACGAACGAATGATAAGAGAAACGGCAACTTGAACAAACAGGTTACAATCGAGAAATAAACTCACCTCTAAACTCTTCCGTATACTTCTCAAGGCCCCATTCCTTGAGTTTAGACACAACGAAGTCATCAGACATTGTGAAGCACTTCGCAGCACGAAGTAATGACGTGAAAGAACCGCATTTTGAAAACCTGTAGCTACACTGACATTTACTGAACTGAGACTGCAAATAACACTCCACGCACTGCAGCCAACAATTGAAAATGGGTATAAAGTATATTGTTCTTTCAGTAGTGACAACACTTGGACTTTCTCACACACGTTCCAATACGTGATGGCGTCTGACACTGACAGCACAGCCGAAGAGATACGGCCATAAAAATGAAATGGAGGAAAAGGCTCTATCTCGGCTCACGAATTATTTGCAGCATAACCAAACAATATTGGCAGCCGCTGATTAGGACTGGCAAAAGCGGAAGTTAGCTGAATCTGGGAAAATTTCAAGGTTTCAAGAAGCGGAAGTCGATCAGAGAATCAGTTAAACTCTTACCCCAACTCCGCAGATGTCGCCACCAGCGAAACTAGATTTTTAGCTGTGGTGCTAAATCCGCTGTACTAAAAAAAATTGCTGTGGTCTGATTTTGTTTTTTTTGCGTGCAGTTTGATATGTTTTCTCCCTTCACGACTTAACTGCCGAGATTAGTCGGAGTTCGAGCTACCACGTTGTGCACGACCGGTCGTGCCCTTCGTTGGGTATAAGAGGGCTTCCTTGGTGCGAGAGAGCAGACGAATAGACATGTCGCCGTAAACGATGGCCGCCTTTCTGGCCCTGGCCTTCCTCGTAAGTTTGAGAGACAATTGACTTTCGCAGTTTCGTTTTGCCGCGCCCACAATTTGGTTCAGCAAAGGAAGGGGTCAGCCTCGGTGGCCACAGAGTACTTTAAAATATCCGTGATTTGATGCAAATCTCCTTCTGCGGGGAACTGCTAAAACAGACGTCTGTTATAGCAGTTCCCCGCAGAAGGAGATTTACATCAAATCACGGATATTTACATGTAATCTGTGCCTCGCCGAATGAGCTTTCAAAAATGGGGAAACCTCCTTTTGATTTCACTTAAGGCTATAGCAGATAGTTTGTGAGAGGTTTGGTTTGGTTCGACATTAAGCAATTGAATTGGCTTTTTGACCCACGCCTTGCGCGTCTTTCTAAGGTGCAGCAGTTTTAAGACGCCTCTCACTGTGTTCCAGGTGGCCGTGGCACTGCCCTGCGCACACGCCGCCTACGCCAAGTCGTGCATGGCGTCGCCCCAGGCAGCGTACGACTGCACTGCGAAGGTGCGAGCCGCGGCCCTGGCCGTGAAGACCGTAGACGCTGCTAGGGCAGCCCAGCCCACATGCTACGCCGTCATGTGACCAGTGGCGCTCTCTCCACTCGAAGAGTGGAGAGTGTTCCTTCGGCAAATGATGGACGTTCCCTGCGCCATTGATTTAAAAGTCAACTATTTGAAAAAAAAAATAACTAACGAAATCCCGCACAGTAAAAAAAGATTCGCCGATTCGGTGACGTCTGGGCGCCAAAACGAGAATATTACAAGAACAGCAACACCCTCAAACTGTTCTGGCGGCCCTCTGTTCGTTCCGGCGACGCTCGGTCTAGTTTCGGTGGCGCTCGGTCCGTTCCGGAGCGGCCACCTCACCAGAACGGCACTGCAGTCACCCTCCCGCCAGCGACTTTTAATCGTCGTATTAATATGAAATAGGACACAAAACAAGTCAGGGGCTGTCAGTAATCATTCGCGTGACTCATCAAAGCGTAACGTTGCCGGCGGGCACGCACAAATATGCACAAACAGCTCAAAAACAGTTGTTGTGGTCATCCTAACCTCTCTGGCGGAACACCACCTGGTGACGCAGGTCACCGTTTTGGTGACAGACCGTCGCCGGGTTTGTAGGGGTACCCGTTTCGGTGAGATTGGATATAGAACGACCACCAAAACAGCGAATCTTTTTTTACTGTGCGGTATTTCACTGCAAGAAAAAGTGTGGATAGTACAACAAAAGTACAACAAAAACTGTTCAATAAAAGTACAACAGGGATTGTAGAGAGTACAACGAGAATTATAAAAAAAACACAACGAGCCCTGGACTGCACAGCACTCGTCATGCCGGTTCCGTTGTACTTTGTACAACAATTGTTGTACTTGAAAAGTTCACTAGATTCCTGATAAAAAAAATTGCCAGAAATTTGTGTACTTTTGTTGTGGTTATTTCCTGCAGTGTTGTGAAGTAAATAAATTTCTTTATTGTACTCTGGTTGTCTTCAGTCACCTTCAAACGGATTGGACGAATTCGTAGGATACTCACTGAATGCTTCTTTCCTCTTTTGAGTTGCGAATGTGGTTCCTTCATTTTCATTGCTACTTCAATACATGGTAATATGTGCACAGAAAAAACCATTCCGAGTTGGTGACTTCGCGCAGTGACTTCCTGAAGATTGCGAATGACTTTACACTACACAAAAGGTTGTCTGGCAAAGGTGCAATTTTGTTCTCGCCTAGGTGGCTCCTAGCTCCCGCCTCGCTCCGCACTGAAGACTGCATGCTAACCAAACCCCCACGGGCCACGCATATCGGGCTTCAATCGGTGAGCCGTAGCGCAGCCTCTTTAAGAGGTCCGAGCAAGTGGGTTCTGGTTCGTGTCTGGTTCATGGGTGTGGGGGTCCTCGACAGAGCTGTAAGTTGACTCTGACATTCTGTTTCAGCTATGTTTAAGTTCTTGTGAACTAAGAGGAGCACTAAGAATAAAAGAGTCATAATCAGGACTTAAATTTTCTGTATCGCCAATGTCTGGGTGGGGATCGTTTGTTTTAGCGTCCAAATTTCATGTTGAAGTATACCTCACCCCAGTAACACTCTTATTCCAGGAACGTGACATCACGTTCAAATGAACGTAACAAAATGTCACGTTCGTTTGAGCATTGTGTCACATTTGTTGGGATGTGAATAAGCTAATTTATGGCTGATTCACATCGAAAGGAATGTGACACAATGATCAAACGAACGTGACACTTTGTCACATTCGTTTGAACGTGATGTCACGTTCCTGGAATGTGAGTGAAGGTAGGCATTGATAGAGGCTCTTTCATTTTCAGTAAGACTCGTCTGCTTTGCTTTTGTAGTCTTTGGTAACATTTTATCGTGAAAAATGACATCTTGCTAAAATACTTATATTAAGAAGAAGAAAGAGGTGTATGGACTTTGTTGCAGGTGGACACTAAAGTAAGTCGGGAATGCATGTCTTGAGTGGGGTTGATTGGTTTTACTTAACATGTACTTTTGGACATTCCTTAGTGGACGGCTCTCAAAAAAGAGTTATGAAAGACTCCAATTGACAGTATCACAAGTAACTTAAAAAGTCGGCTATGACCTTCTTGTTCACCTTTTCTTGTAGGCCATTGCCAACAATGAAGTGAAAATGATTGTATCGTGGAACTTTGTGAACGGACACGATTGAAGGGATGGCCTTTGAGACAACGTCACAGTCCTGCAAATACGAGATAGGTCATGTTAAGGAAGGCAAGGAGCTGGGTAATTTTGGGGTACTGTTATAAAACGGGATAACTGTTTCCTGGGTATAGAACTCATGCCATTTCAAATGTTTAATTAACATTAAAAAAACATCACATCTAATAGAGCGTGTGTTCTTTCGTGTAAATCTTGTCAGGATGTCAGAAACCTGTCCGAAAACCTGATCAAAATTCGCACACTTCTGAAAGCCGAAAAGTTATTTTGACATTCTGTAGAACCCAGGCCATCAATATAAGAATAAGTTTTCAGAATTTCAGTTTTCAGGAGTCCGAGAATTTTCGAAGTCCGAGAAGTCTCTGACATTCAAACAAAATTTACAAGAGTGTTTCCAAAATGTCAAATATCTACCAGGAAAAAACTGGCCCATTTTTACGCCGTGTCCCAAAATTACCCAAACTGACCCTAGGTGAAGCTAAATTGTGGAAGGATAAGAATCTGGAAAGAATGTTTCAAAACAACATTGTGAATTTGGTAACCATGATGTAAAAGGAATGAACGAATAACGCGCATGTCAGTGCGGCAGCGCTTCTTTCCGAGAAATTGAACCTACCTTCACACTGACTGTGACGTCCTCGAGTCCACAGTAGATATGGATTGGTGATGTGATGGACGTCAGGTTGTAAGATGGAGGTTCAGATGATCCGTACAGCTCAAAGTTCCTGGCACTTCCGAAATCGTATTTCCGAAACTCACCATCTGCAATGCAGCAAGACATCCGCAGGGGAAAGGAATGATGTGGTCGCACAAGCACTGATATTGTTAATGTGACAAGGGCTAATTTGATTCCTTCAAATTCACTCTATGAATAAAAAATCGACAGTGAAAAAAATTTGGGTCATTTCATTTGGGCCTTTAAAACGGCCTTTAAATCGGCGAAACACCAGAGTACTTATCTCCCAAATTTGGTGATAGTTTGGAGGACTGACTGCCAGGATTTGGCAATAAACTTTGTTCAAATCAGAGGGACTAGTTCTTTGTTTATTGCCACATTTTGTCTATACTCAATAACGAAACCGGTTGAGGTTTACTTTTTGACACCCGAACATTTCAATTGAAACGAATATTTCGAAGTTTTACGTATGGTGCCAATTACTGGACAGTCTGGTTTACTTTTTGACACCCGAACATTTCAATTGAAACGAATGTTTCGAAGTTTTACGTATGGTGCCAATTACTGAACAGTCTGGTAAAATTTACCAGGATTATTAACTAGACACCTAGTAAATGCCACAACACCCGATCTAGTTACAGCAACTGATCATGTGGTGAGAGTTACAAGGATTCTCGTATGAGTAACCAGTACTCGTTTAACTAGGATTGGTCTGGTACTTTTAACGAGACTTTTTTTCAGTGCTCATCTACGAGGTTATGTTGCCGGCGTCAGTTTCGGTTTTGTTCTTCGATCGGCGACGACTAGAATGCTCTATTTAGACCGAGGGGGTATGCACTCGCGTAATAGTCGGTTCACTCTATCTGTAATAGCACGCGTAATAATACGCGTAATAGTCGCGTAATAGCCGAAATTGTCAAAATTTTATCAATTTTGGTGTGTTTTAGGCCGTTTCTAGCTAAATTCCGATTAATTTGTGGCGTAATAGAGCGTAATAGCGTAATAGTCGGTACACAGGTTCAGAGAGCGCATACCCCCTCGATTTAGACATCGTGAGGCGTGAGGCCAGGAGAGAAAAAATTAGTACCTTTTTGGATGCTTTGTGCATAATGCACACCTTGACGTATTGAAGCTCCTGATGGAAATCGGATGGTAAGTCCTCGTAACAGTTTCTGTAAAAAAGACATCATTTAGTAATCCACTCTCATTCCAGGAGCGTGGCATCACCGTGAGACAAGCGCGACAAAATGTGACGCGCCTTCGGGCATTGAGTCATGCTCCTTTCGATGTGTTTAGCACAGTAAAAAAAGATTCGCCGATTCGGTGACGTCTGGGCGCCAAAACGAGAATATTACAAGAACAGCAACACCCTCAAACTGTTCTGGCGGCCCTCTGTTCGTTCCGGCGACGCTCGGTCTAGTTTCGGTGGCGCTCGCGGTCCGTTCCGGAGCGGCCACCTCACCAGAACGGCACTGCAGTCACCCTCCCGCCAGCGACTTTTAATCGTCGTATTAATATGAAATAGGACACAAAACAAGTCAGGGGCTGTCAGTAATCATTCGCGTGACTCATCAAAGCGTAACGTTGCCGGCGGGCACGCACAAATATGCACAAACAGCTCAAAAACAGTTGTTGTGGTCATCCTAACCTCTCTGGCGGAACACCACCTGGTGACGCAGGTCACCGTTTTGGTGACAGACCGTCGCCGGGTTTGTAGGGGTACCCGTTTCGGTGAGATTGGATATAGAACGACCACCAAAACAGCGAATCTTTTTTTACTGTGAGGGCGCTTCGGAAGAGCTGAGACGGGAGTTGAGAAGAAATCAAAAAGAACAAAAGCCGGACTTGTCTGAGAAAATAGCTCTGCGGAAGCGTCAGAACGACGCACATTCTCAACAATTTCGCTTGCTTTGTTCATCTTGATTTCTTTTCTACTTCCATTCCAGCTTTTCTCTGAAGTACCCAACTCGGGTGCAGCAATGGATCAAAAATTGATTTTTTTTCATGAAATTGAGACTTTGAGGGACACAGTTTGGCCAGGGCCATCCCGTTCTTGTTCAACGGAGGCCTCCTAAAAGGGTTTACACTAAGAATCCAAACGCTATGAATATAGCGTCAATTGGTTCAATGCTTTTGCATTGCACATGAAGTTCAATGCCTCCTCATTCCCATGTATTAGGGCATTTTCGGGATGCATTGCACCTGAGGTGCAATATGGCTATGACATTGCAGGTTTGGTGCAATATCTCAGTGCATTGCACTATACTCATATTCAAAGCGTTTGGAATCTCAGTGAAAACGTCAAAAATGAAACATTTACGAGCACAGTAGCGGAACCAGGGACATTTTGGGTATGCCCTATCTGGCTTTTGGTGTGGAATATATTTCCGAATTCTGTGAATTCGCTGTCGAACAACGCCTTTGACCCGGGTGGCGTCCGGAAGTGGACACCTTTCGGTCCAAATAAGCGGTTTTTACGGCATGTTATTTATTTTGACCGAGACTTGTGACGGTCCCCAACAGCGCCCAATGCACCAAGGCGCATTGAAATGCACATAAAAGGTAACACATTTTAGGCGCATTTAATGCGATTGTGCGCATGAAATGCGCATTAATGCTCGTAAATGCACATTAAAGACGCCTAAAATGTGTTACCTTTAATGTGCATTTCAATGCGCATTCCCGCTTTAAATGCGCTTTGATGCACATTGGCGCTATTGGGGGTGTCAAACACTTTTTCCGCTGAACTATTGTCTCGAGCCAGGTAGGGACTCAGTGAGGCTCGACTGGGGAACGGCCCAAGGGCACGCCACAAAATGCGAGTCTAAGTTGGACAACAATTTCATTTTTATGATTTTTCTCTTCGATTTTGGATCCATCACTCCACTCTAATTATGTGAGTCAGCCACAAGTAAGCTTAGACACATGCAAACGACACAATGCTTTAAGGAGCGTGACATTTCGTCAGGCTGGTCCAGCGTGATGTCACGCTCTTGATATGATAGTGCAGACTTAACAGGGTTTGACAGCACTTGGGGATCAGGGGCACGTACGTCGCTGCCTAAGTAACTGCGCTTTCCCTCAAAGAAGTCAGAGAGCATCTTGCAGACTGGAGCGAAGACGGTGTTGCTCTTTGCCGCAGGACAAAGGGTAGTCAGGGACACGTCCGAAAAGGGAAGCTTGTCGTTTATCACGTATCCTCCAGTGGCATTCTGAAAAATAGTTCCGTTCAAGTGAAATAAATTGTTCAGTATTAATTGTTTACACACTAAATAACTTTTCGAATGTGACATTTTGTATACGGTTTTAGGCCCATTTGTCACATTGTGGGTGTAATGATGTGAATACACGCGTGCATGCACCGGGCGCGGTTTAAGGGGGGGTCTGTGATACTCCTTAAACGCCTGTTAGTAAGAAATAGGGTGTCGCGAAAAACACATTTTTTTTTCTTTTGCGAAATTGATATTGGCTCGGGAGGCAAAGTGTTCTCTCAGGGGCCAATATGAACTATTTTAAATATCACCCCGATCGGATAATATCTTCAACCCCCACAGCGGCCTTGAAAATAGGAAAAATGGTTAAAAAGCCTAGTGGGTTGGCGTTGGCAATTTGTTTGCACGCTTCCGGCCACTTCCAGGCATGTCCTTAGGCTTAAAAAGTCGAAAGGGGGCCCCTTAAGCCTAACATAAATTTGCGGATAACCTCACCCTATGATTAATACCAGTTTCTGCAAAGTTAACGCATGAAACTTGACAATTTTGTCAAGATTTGCCTGTAAATTCCCACGTATGTCAGTTTTGCCCATTTCGACCGTCTTTTTCTCCGATCTGAGTTACTTCCTGAGGTCAGAAGGATCGATTTAGGGGGAGAGGGTCAATTTGGGTCTAAAATCGCTAGGGCGCTTCGTTTGACGGGAAAATTGGGTCAGAATAACCGAAATTGCATAAAGATTGATTAATTTGACCCAATTTTCCCGCCAAACGATGCGTCCTACCGATTTTGGACCCAAAATGAACCCCCCTAAGTCGACCCTTCTGCCCTGAGGAGGTAAGCCAGATGGGAGAAAAAGACGGTCAAAATGTGCGAAACCGACTTACGTGGGAATTTACAGGCAAATCTTGACAAAATTGTCAAGTATCATTGCAGAAACTGGTATTAATCATAGGGTGAGGTTGTCCACAAATTTATTGTAGGCTTAAGGGGCCCCCTTTCGACTTTTTAAGCCTAAGGACCTACCTGGAAGTAGCCGGAAGCGTGCAAACAAATTGCCAACGCCAACCCACAAGGCTTTTTAACCATTTTTCCGATTTTCAAGGCCGTTGTGGGGCCTGAAGATACTATCCGGTCGGGGTGATATTTAAAATCGTTCATATTGGCCCCTGAGAGAGCACCTTGCTACCCGAGCCGATATCAGTTTCGGAAAAAAAGTGTCTTTCGCGGCACCCTAAGCAACCAGGTAGGCAAAATATACACCCTCTCTCGGAGGCCCCTTAAACCGCACCTGGAATGCACTACAACTTTTTATTGCACAACGCGATAACTTTCATATTGCAACTTGCATATTGCATTACAAGTTCAATATCACACCTCGAATAACAGTGTATCCAGCCCCAACCTGTCTGTCATGGCCTACGCACCCTTAGTCGACGCGCATAATCAGGAAACGTGTTCATGAGGGTCTTGGCCAAATGCCACCAGCCAGCCGGGTTCTTGAAGAAAGCCGCGGGAGCGAAGAAAACGTTGGCTATGATCTTCGCATTGTACTCTGGACGTTCGGACAGCAACACCATGGTGGCAGTACAGCTCATGGAGTACGACAAAGCAAAAAGGCGTGCGTGCCCTGTGGTGTTGAGTACGTAGTCTATCATGGCGGCTTGGTCCATGACGCCGTTCTCATGCCAACTGAAACAGGTCAATACACCGTTCGCGTCCCTCTCGAAGAGAAACTAGTGGTGCGGCAGAGTGCAGTGAACTACGTAAACGATCACAGTAAAAAGTTTGTTCAAGGTAAACGTGTTGAAGAATAGAGTGCGGTAAAAAGGGGAAATGTTCGGAACGTCCGTTTAAGGAAGTTCTTTGACCGTCGTTGGAATATAACATTTTAATAAAATTTCGTAAGGATGCAGTATGAGTACCCTAATGCCGAATTCCGAATGCCCCTTGCATTTTTACTGAATCAATTCTGCCCAAAACGGCAGTAAAAATGGGCCCTGGCGGACCCGTTTTACATGGGCTCTTATGGGAGGACGGGTGCAGTGCAACTGTTCCATTCACATTGCTCGCTCAGAATATGTACCATTAAGTCAAAAAACTGATATGTTGTTCACTAATGTCTACAGAACACGTAGTATTACGGCAATCCAGTTTTTACTAAAAGGAAAAGGAGCACTACGTTCTGAAAGTTGGAAAATCGCGTCCCGTGCCGAGCGCTTGGGCGGGAGGAGCAGCAGATGTGACAACGTCGGGTGGCCCGCGCTGGCCCGCGCGGGGCCGCGCAGCCCCGGACCCGGCAGGCTCCCTCGCCTACTCAGCAGGGCTGCCACTCCAACCGGCGTGTGGCGTTGCCGCTGTGCACTACCACAGCAAGGCTAGTTTTCTGAATATTTCGGAATAAAAAGAACTCGAGTAGACACGATCAGAAGGTGCAGTTGCACTATGAGCACTAATCTGCGCAAATCTATCATGGTTAGAAGTGCCAAAGAACACTGTTCCCTTCAAAACCTGTGCGGCGCGTTTCAATGACAGCGGTTGGTATGGCTAATGCTTCCTTATGGAGCCCCCCTCGCCCCGCAACACCCCCGCAGACGGTCAAAGAACTTCCTTAAGCTCTAAGAAGTAAATTTCTCATGTATTTCCAATGGTTCCTTTGCAAATTCACAACGAAACTTCGTGGATTTACGAAAATTCTTCGGAAATTCACGCAGGTTCCTTTAGCAAGTTTTTGGCCGTTTTTGCCGTAAGGTATCGGAACTTCCGGAAATTTGCTTTTACAGAATTGACACAAAATGTTAAGGAAGCAATACACTGAAAATGGCCCAAAAACTGACTTGTGCGATTGCTTTAATACTTACTCGTAGCTCTACGTAGTTCAAACTTTCATAACATTGAAAACTGAAACTTTCTGAGCATCAAGCAATCAAAAGGTCAAAATTTTATGGAAAAAAAAAAAACAGTTTTGATCGTTTTTGCACATTTCTCAAAGAATATTTGGGTTGAAATTTTGACCGTTTAGCTAACCTCTGTTCATAGTTATAGTTTATGCGATAGCCACTTTCATTACTTACTTTTTGACGCAAACGGAGAAAGCGATATCTTCATTTTAGCGCAGATCAATTTTCGGCCATTTTCAGTGTATTGCCTCCTTAAGTTGTATGATGACAGGGAAACGTCTGACTCGTTCTATTGATCCACCTTTTAACAAATGGTCCCAATATCATACATCAAGATGAACACTTGGTCGGAAACCAAATCACGAATTTCGTAAGACAACTGACCTAAAGTCCCAGAACTCGTGAGACTTCGGACTGAGAGTTCTGTGCCTTACTCCGTAAGGAGTTCCTCTGAAGTTAGCCAGCCAAACATCGAATCCATGGTCAACAAGCTGCAACGCTGTAACACAACCAACGCCACAGAAGACTTAGTTTAAGAGATACTGGAAAGAGATGATGGAATGTTTAAGTGTGATAGAAAGTTCAACCGTTCATGTATGGTTCTGGGTAAAAATCACAGGTTTTTACAGGACCTGAATTTCACCATCTTGGATCCGCAGTAGTCACTTCTTGGATTGTCCGGTGAATCCAAGACGTGACTACTACGGGTCACCGGGTCTCTACGAGATCTGTGACTTAAATCGGCAATCAAAATTGATGCAAATAAGGCTGTCTACTGGTTTGCAAACACCTTGTCGCCGAAAAACGTAAGTCGTCAGTAAACGACTTAAGTCACTTGTAAACGGCTTTGATCATTCAGAAAGAGCAACTTTATTGCTTAATTACAGCACTACTTTTAACAGTGTATGATTCAAAGTAATATTTCTTAGAAACTTATGCTGACATTCTGTAGAACTCCTGGACGAGTTACTAGCCGGGACTGGACCAAACTTAAACTTGGTTTCCCCTCAGCCCAACCTTCAAATCAAAAGTCCCGGACACGAAATAGGTTCGTGGCCAGAGTTCCTTTGGCATCGAAAAACATCACCACTTCCTCCGCCTGGACGCCGACCTCAGTATCTCTGAAAGAAGTACGAGACAAAACAAAACGGCCTTCGGGCGTTGGGCGCCTAGCGACGCCCGGATGCCTCAACGCCACCAGGTTCATCGTGGACGCTCCGGAAGGATCATCATCGGGGACCTCAGCCACTGACGACGTCACCCAAAGTTGGGAGACGTGACGCTTGTTACCAAAATTCACGTGCAACTGAGTTGCATCACCCATTTGAAGGGCGATGTGACATTAATTCTCAGTAAAGCCTCATTTTGTCTCCCAGTGTGCGTTGAGCTCGTTTCCTGCTCTAGTTTCGCAGCGCATACGCTGCGTGCGGAACCAATTAGGGACAAGGAATTTAGCACTAACCGAACGCGTCCTCCGCCTCTCCTCGCAGCGAAAGTGCGATTTTCCCACCTTAAGGTGCAAACTTCACACTTCCAAGTTAGCATAAGAAACTTCCTCGTCAGACCTTTTTAGTGCATTTAAACATGCAGAAATGCATTTGAAGTGTGGTTAACGATACCTACCTAGGTTTTCGTCCTCTCGGAAGATCCACAGCTCACTGCTTGCCATGAGCGCGTGGCCCACCAGGACCGGGCTGCGATGCCTGCTGGAGTTGTGTGCGTGTGGCTTCGACAGGCGTTGGATGGTCAAAATGTAGCCGTCAGGTGTCACCACGTCGTGTGAGTCGGCGTGGTAGCCATACATCTCCGCCAGCTGATCGTTGTAGACAAAGGTTCATTCGATGGGGGCTCGACATATAGTTTTGCAAGTGACCTCTCCGCTTTCGACGAAATTTTGTCAGATTATTGGCTACAGTCTGAAACCACTTAAAATTCTCTTTAGCAAAAAAACTAAACAAAAAAAAAAAAAACAATTTTTGAGAAAGTTCTGGCCTGCGTTAGAATTGAATCTTGTTGCTTTGCCTTACATGCAAAAGGTAGGGCAGCAGTGTGCTTGGAGATACACGCCACCTGCCGGGGGGAACCCGAGAAAAATGTCCACCGTAAAAAAAATTTAATATATTTGCAGTAATTTTAGACTGAAATTTTTAAACGGACAAGTGGCTTGAAAATTCAGAGTTATCATTCAGACCACTCGGTCTAAATTTTCAGACTACTTGTCTGAAAAAAAAAGTTTCAGACTTCAAGTCTGAAACAGTAAATAAAAGTGCTGTCCAGAATTTCAAGAGGAAGACAAAACGAGATACATTGGAATTGCTGACGTACTTAGTTGTCGCTTTTTTCTGAATTCCTCCTGCCGGTTTCGAACCGGAGCTTTTCGATTACGAGCCAAGCTCAATATCACTGCGCAATGCCCTGGGGAAGTGCGTAAATAGTCTACGACTCTTTGAGCGAAATTTTTTTGTCATTTCAAAGGCATTTACGATTCACACCTGTCCAGAGGGCCGTAAATCGTTTACACCCTTTCAGGGCATAGTTTTAATGCCTTTCACCAGTGCTGTTGCCACATTCTGAGAAGTGCTCCACGAGTGCACCATGCCTGGGGGATCCGTGAGCTACTCCACACTTTAGGTGTGAGAGCGCAAACAAAGCACTGTCACACGTTCAGTGTGGAGGATTATACTACACCAGGAATTAAGGAGTTCTCCGTAGTGTGTACTGCGCAAACCGCGAGTTTTCACTTGCCCACTATAGCTTACCTTTTCGACTGCAGACGATTGGTAAGAAGCCAATACATTGCAGCAGTACAATGCCGTGATTGTGAGTGTCAAAAACTGGGGCAACATTTCAGGCCGGCGAGAAAGGCGACAGTCAACGATTTACTCGGGATGAGGCCGTGTCCTGTACAGCACAAGAGGGTAAATTTGCAGTGACAGGAAGGAGTACACTCTAAGTGTTTTGGAATGAAATTTGAGCTATGTTACAGTGAACTCGGCCAGTGCTGTTAAAGTTAATTTAACGATTAACGAAGTTATTTAACGCCGTTAACGTTAATTAACGAATTAACGTTAACTCGTTAAAGTAGTCAGAAAGTCTTAACGTTAACGAGTTAAGTTAAGTAGGAATGTTAACTTCTTAACGCCGTTAACGTTTACTTTGTTCATCTGTGTATGCATATTTTGCCGACATTTGGGTCATACAATATGTAGAATTTATGTCTTGGGTGAAAGAAAATGAACAAAACTTCAATTTTTGTGAAAGGTTTCGAAAGTTAGTCATTTTTTGGCATCTTGAGGACTGAAAATCTGTCAAAAATCAAGAAATCACACAACGTCTTCGGTTCATCAAGAAGTAAAACTAACTTTAACTTCGTTAATGCGTTAATTTAACGTTAACTCGTTAACTAATGCTGAAGAGCCTTAACTTTAACGAGTACGTTAATTCGGTTAGGTTAACGGCTTAACTTTAACTCGTTAACAAAAAAAATTAACTTTAACAGCACTGAACTCGGCACGAGCATAATACGAAGCAACACTCCTTCGTAAAAAAAAATGTTTCGAGTATTTGCCCTCCTAAATTCATAAGTCAGAAATAAACTGAAACTAGTCGAAGACAAGCTGCGTTTCGTCACTTTTTGGCCCGTCCCGTTTATTTTTTGTAAAAAAATGACGGAGGGACGGGCATATAGTATGATGCATGCTGTGCGTCCGTTCGTCCGTTCGTTCGTTCGTCCGAGGACTTCCCTGGTCCGATCTTGCCCAATTTGGTATGCAAGCCTCCTGGGTGACCCAAGACGCCCGAGATGGCAGCAAATCCGATCGAGCCCCGGTGGCGCTGCTGAGCCAGGGTGCAGTGCAGGTCTTAATGGTTGGTCTAGAAGGACTCGGCAACGGATGCAGCAGGAGCCTGCAATAAGTGTATTTTTGGACACTCGGCTTTACGAGAGAAACTCAATGGTACACTATTTCAGCAACTCGGAGAAGTTCGGACCTCTTAGGGTCTCAAATCCCAGCGGACGTGTATCTCTTGGAACATTCTATTTGTACCGAGTCTTTAGCAACTTGGTGCAGTTCTGACTAAGTCCTTTTGAGGTCTTCGACGCAAACGACATCGTTATGTTTGAACACTCCTTAGATCGCTTTATTCACCGTGCAGGGTCGACACATAGGAGAGGAATGCGACATTTGGCACCTAAAAGTGGGGCGGGCGACAAAGGCGCCATTTGGCCCATATGAGTGTAGTCGAAGACAGCTGCGTTTCGTCACTTTTTTAAGGTTCTAAAAGCCTTACGAGGCCCCGGAAAACCTCCAAATCACCCGTACGTATTATATGAACGTTGCCAAGGCTTAAGGCATTTTACTTCTTGCCAAACAGTGTGAGACTGCCTCTGTCTCACTCTTGGACATGCACGAATGAAGTTACTTTTTCATTACACTTAAGCTGAATCAACTTACAGGACGGACGAACTACCTGCCACTCATGCGAGTCTCGTCGCTGATCGCGGAGGCGGTGCTAAGAGGCGAGCGGCTCTGTGGACACGACAGAAATGAGGAGCCGAAATCTTTTTTAAAATCGAAGATCGCTTCTTGCTCGAACTCACGGTTGACCTTCAGTCGTCTAGACTGAAACCGGGGGAGAAGGGGGGAGGAGGAGGAAAGGACTCGTACCAGTGCCCCTGCGAGCTTTACAAACCTGGCCTGCTGGTCTTCGGGCGAGTCTGCTCAGCTCCAGCGACTGGAAAAGAGAAATGGTAAAGGGGGAGAGGGGAGGGGGGACACCAGTTCTGTGGCCCCGCGCACGGCAGAGCCGGGCAGTAGACGGGCGGCAGCGCCCATTTCTTCCCAAAGCGACCTGCTAGTCGCTCAGTCGCAGTCGGGCCGGCCTTCTCCGCCTCTCTGCCACGATAGCAAAAAGCTACGGAAAATTCTGCTAACAGCTTGTGGTAGTTCTCCGTAATCCTCTTGTCAATTTTCTCCGTAGGACCGTGCAGGTTTCTGCGTAGGACCTTACAGTGTTCTCCGTAGTCTTCCAGAAAACTGCACTGGGAGAAAAAATGATGGTTGAGGCTGTTAATTCTGATGACACTCTCCACTGTTCATCGAAAGGTATTTACCGTACCATGGGATACAGTAGACACTGTAACCTGGGAACCCGTAGCCACTGTGCCTTGGGAACTGTCGGTATAACTGTAAATTTTCAAAATCAAAATTTCAAAATCGCGATAGGAACGATTCGACGACGGAAATAAATTCATCTCAACAAGACGAACAAAAACTGATAAGCATGTTATGGGCTCAAACTCGTAATTCAACGGAAATCGGGGTCAGAAATCTTTAAAAAGTAGGATTTTTGGACTCCAATACATCGGACTCATGAAATTACGGTCCAAAATCCTACTTTTTTATACTTCTGATGCCGATTGCTGTTGAATTTCGAGTTTGAGTCCATAAAATGCTTGTCATTTTCTGTTCGTCTTGTTGAGATGAATTCATTTCCGCCATCGAATCATTTTTTACCTACTAGGGCAATGTGTGACTTTTAGCCTACACTGTGGGAAAAAATCACAGTAAATCCTGTAGTGATTAGTACAGCTGTCACTGTAGTTCAGAGTACAGGATTTACTGTACTTTTTTAACAGGATCTACTGTACTTTGTACGGGATTTACTGTACCACAGGAGTGGAGTACGGAATATCCTGTACCAGGTACAGTAGATACTGTAGCCAGGCACGGTAAATCCTGTGTTCTGAACTACAGTAAATCCCGGCAAAAAAAAATAACGGGATTCACTGTGGTTTTTTCGCACAGTGTACCTTTCAGGCGGCTACGCCCTCCTGAATCCGCGCCTGCCCTACGGAAAATACTGTAAGATCTTCCGGAGAATATTGATATGAGAGCTACGGAAAATCTTGGCACAATGTTATGAGAATTATCTGTACCCTTTTGCCACAGTGTGCTCGCCTCTGACGCACGCGGGCGCTTCCGCCCGGGTGACCCTGGACTAAGTCGGGCGATTCAGAAGAGTCGCTCTTTCTCTGTGGCACTCGCACGGTAAAAACGGTCCCTACCTTGCCCAGGTACACACTTAAGGAGAGTTAGTACGTGTAACTTGGATGATTTTGTGCGTTGAATTTCCATTGGCTGAGCGATAGCGAAGCCCATTACTCGGGTGGGGTTGGAAAGTTTTGTCTGTCTGTCCGTGCGTGTGTCTGTTCGCACTACTCCTCCAGAACGGCTCGGCCGATTCGGCTGAGATTTTTGAGGAACATTAGGTTTATCCTTGGCTCGCCACACTCCAAAATTCAGCTTTTTCTCTCAATTCCTGCGCCTGCGGTTAAAAACGCTAAAATACATTTAAAACACTGTTAAAAAATTTGGATTGAAATTTCATAACATGTTAATGTAATTATTATCACTTTTCTGTTCTGAAATTTCATGGCGATTTTCTGCAATGAAATAAATTTCATTGCAGAAAATCGCCATGAAATTTCATAGCAATGTGTTGTAAAACTTCATTAATTTGTTCATGAAAATTCATATGTAAGTTTTGACATTTTATTTCCGATTGAGGTATTGTACATCTTAAGTGGGTAATGAAATCTCGACCGGTATCTTGGCTCTGAGTTCCACACCACTTCTAAAAATTGAAAGCGGGCCAAGTCCACCTCAGACTCCGATCTTACCCCGGAGCGATACTCAGCGAGATGAGTTGGTAGCATGTTGTACCACAACCACGAGGAGGCTCTCGCTGGACCTAACCGTATGGCCGACGGTAGGCGCCAGCAAGTCGCAACATGGTTCTGCGTTTTTCTCGACTTCAGAGTAATATTTTGTTTAACACTTTTAGCATACGTCTAGAATAGATATTCACTGAGGTAACCAAGGATAAACTTTTGAAAAAAAATATTAATTTTACTTAAATGAATAGGCAAAACTTATTAGTGAACGAACACGGCGCTCCGAGCGCCACCTAGCGGCAGCTTCTTGAAACCTGACTTTGAGCCCAGGTGGCTGGCAGGCCGCACCATGTGAGCAGTGGATTGACCACGGTTTGCGTTTAATGATACTAAAATTCTTTTTTGGTGCGACATTTGATTTACTACTCATATCATCACGCTACATTACTCAGGGAAGAGCATAGAAATATTCCGAATCACGATGAGGTTCAAACTCAGTCAAACCTGAAGTTCCTTCCACCCGGGCAATGTAAGAGCCATCAAAACCTGCCTATCACAAGTCAGAGACCGACATGAAAGTTTATATCTTGGTAATAAATTTTCAGAATCACACTTAATTTGTAGTTTCACGTTATGACTTTTCATCAAATCTCTTGACGTTTCATTGCAGACTTGATTTTTCAAGGAGATATTATGACGTGTCATGGAATGTGTTATGACATTTCATTATATTTATGAAATTTTATGGCCGCTATGAAATTTAATGGCGTTCATGAATTTTCAATGCATATTTGTAATGAAAATTCATAGCATTTTTAACAGTGAAACGGCCATTGGTGCTTGCACGGCATGTAGGGGTGCTTTAGGAATCGGGGTGACCAGGCGGGTTCGGTGGACCCGGTTCCGACAACATCGGCCGCTTCCAGCCGACTGAAGAATTTTGTCAGGGTTTTCGGTAGGTCTCGCCTAGACGTTTTCAACGAGTGGTCGGGGTCTTGAAAAACATACATTTCTGTGACAGCTTGTCGAAGGCAAGCACTTAGCGCCGCAGTCCAAGGTAGGTGTAAACGCTCGGCATGGATGTCGTGATTGGCGCAGCAACGCAAAGCCCGTTACGACAAGTCACGGTGTGGCGTACACCTGCCTTGTTTGGCTGAGCGATAGCGAAGCCCTTGCCGTGTTTGGGCGCTCCGAAAAGTGACTGGTCGTGCGTCTGTCTGTCTGTCTGTCTGTCTGTCTGTATGTATGTAATCACTCACGTTTCTCAGCAACTACTGAATGAATAGTATCCAACTTTCACACCTGATGTCTCCTAAACGTCCTACAGGGGGAGTTTATCTCAGATTAACAATTATCATCGTTTGAAATATTCAAAACATCATTTTGAACTAGGTAATTAGCGTGTTTAGGTTGGTAGCAGTGTGTGGCTGACCAATTTCTCATACCGGCTGCCGCGCTTGCAAGCCGTCTGCAAGACGGGACGGCACTTATGCAAATAAACAAACTAAAGAGCAAAGGGGTTCTCAAATAGGTACTGAGATAGTTTTTTGACATTCTAGAATGATTGAAACCATTCCAGGGTGTCAACAGAGGAAAATACGGAAACTAAATGTGAGAATGGTTTACGTGTTTCGTTCCCCTCTTCCCCCTCCCCCGTCACAGGGGAACAGGTCAGTGCACTGAGTGTAGTTGTGGATTGTAAATAGAATGTTTTCTTTGCCTTTGTGTGCATCTACTGATTTTATTCTCTCTGATACTATCCTAATTTTTAAAATTCATAGTAAATAAAATCAGGTAAATGCATGAATAACTTCTGTTGAAATTAGAAGACATGTTAATTGTCTTGGTTTGTCTCGGGGAAATGACACTCTATTGCAATGCTGCAAGCTAACATAAATATTCTAGTACTTACATCTATTGATTAAAAGAATCCATAAATAGATGTATTTTGTGCAATAAATGATCCATATATTTAGTGCTAACAGATTTTGAACTGATATTGGGTTCAATGAGACGATTCAGGTTTTGAGCGGTGGGTGACTTGGTAATTGCTTTTAATGGGACGATTCCTTTCACTTCACCAAAGCTTGTGTCCGACAACTGGAACCAAGTATTGGTAATGATTTGAAAGCTGGCTTTCTGAATGTAAGCCCAATGTTGATACTATACTGTATTCTTTTACTCTAAAGATAAAATATCACGAGGCATGAATAAGGTAAATTAAGGTGGCGTATTGAGCAACAAGTGGCCTCTGCATTTGACTTCATGAGACGACAAAACTTGTTCTCTGTCGAATGCTTCAGATCAGCCTGCCCTAAACTGAGTCACTTAATAAAAACTATGATTACATATTCCAGTCTATATTGTTCAATTCACTGGTTTTAAATGAAAGAATGACAAAAGGCTTCTCAAATATAACTAATAAATTTGTGAATTCATTAGTTTGAAGAAAAAGATGTATCGAATAGTGAGTCAAGCAGACGAGTAGCTAATTAAGCGATTCAATGCTGGCAATGGAATGTTACTCGACTGAAGGAATCGCATTGGTGTGGCATTTGAGTATTGGTGACGACAAAGGGTGATCCATGAAGACCAACCCAGACCCATTCTTTACCCATTATTGATCAATTTGATATCAATATTTTTCAATCGAATCTCATATTGATTCTTGGAGTTTTTGGAGTGCTGATTATGACAACCACTTCCATCTCTACTCCAGACTTATATTTTCATCTCAAATTAGGTCATTTCGGACCAAAATTTTCAGGTCGAGTTTTATATTGTTTCCTGCAGTGTTTGATGCGCTGAACTCAAAAATAACTTCCAAATTTTTCCCAGACTCAAGCTTTACCCAATTTTGACCAAATTTGGACCAAAATTTTTGAATTGAGTTTGATGTTGATCCCAAC